GCAATATGAGAGAACTGTAGTCTGGAGCCAGGTCGACCAGACTCCATAAGATAATATATACAACCTGTAAAGTTTATAACACTCAGATATCAGAGATGTTTATTCCCTTGGGGACTTGATGCCTGCGCGGATCGAGAAGCCATTCCAGATAACTGGTCAATACTGGAAAAGTTTTTAGATGATTACTTACTTGTTTATATATGTGTCACTTCTTCTTAACGACGACGGGAACGATCCCTAAACCTAGAGTAAAACAAAGTCTTTTGATTTTAATTTTTGATTTAAGTTTATTTTAGTTTGTTTTTTTCTATTTAATTGCTTACAACACTCACAAATTGCGGAGCTAATGTTTCGTTTTCCGTTTAATAGTTTTGATCAGTTGCATTCAGTTCAATAAATAATAATGTAAATATCGATTTTGTTTTAATGACTTTTATTTTTTTCTATTCTTCTCCACCTCAGTGACTAGATCAATTTTTAAAACATGATCCTGGTAGTTTTTTCGGGTTGCATTGTTAAAGTATAATATACATATATTCAGGAGTGCCACAGAAACCGGATTGAAAACCCCACACACAACTTTGCGGGAACCTGCTAAAAATAAGAATCCATCGATTAGAGAGCCGTAAATCCATTGCGACAATGCAATTTTAAGAAATAAATTTGTTCATTTATATTAAGTAATAAGATTAGTCACAGAATATATCAAAAGAATCGGAAGAACATGCTATTGAATAAATATAGAAAGAAGATTGAAGGGAGATAAAATAATAGATAGAGCTAGATCATCGCGACAGGTATTCTTTTTGACTCTTTGATGGGTATTTCTAGAAAAATGTCAACCAGAAGGAAAAATAAAATATTGAATGTAGTGGAATCTGTTTGTTTATTCTTACATTCTTATTCTGTGAATGCCCAAAGCCTTTTTCATATGGTAGATAGGTATTTGGGTATTTTTTTTTTAAATTTTATATTATAAAATTTGTTTTATAATTAAAACTATGAGATTTTTATGTGGGGCCAAAATTATGAGGTCGGCCAACAATAACCGATATTTGTGATTTATATCCGATCTTAACTGCAAGACTATATCAATTTCAACTCCGCCCGAAGTTACCTTTCCCTTTTTTTTTTCTTTCAAATTATTCATTCAAATTTGCAGGATTTCGCAATTTAAAATCAAACATAAAGTCAAACATTTATATTATAGTATATATTTTATGTTTATTTAAGTTGAATTTTATTAAGTTTAATATTTATTTATAAAAATTAAATATTTTTTGTACCGTTTGTGATGGATTTTTTTCTACAAATTATTTTGAATCAACAAGTTTTGCCGAAATCTTGCCTTTTAGAAATAAAACAGTATTGTATCGTATAAAAAAACACTTCTAAAAATATTATTTTTTTATATTTTTTTCGCAATTATATACATTACGCATATAACGTCCCCGATGCTGAAAATGCCCATATACGAAGGATCTTGCGAGATCAGTTTTAGAATTCCTTCATTATGGGTACCGAACACGCTCGATACAACCCAAGTTTTTAGACAAGAAACCAATTTAAGTAAAATTAAATTTTGTAAATCTTCTACATTTAGGCAATAAGGTTGAGCTAAAATTGTGTACATAACATACATATGTAAACCAGTATAACCATAATTTTTATACCCTTATTATACCCTTGCAGAGGGTATTATAATTTTGTCCAAAAGTGTGCAACGCAGTGAAGGAGACATCTCCGACCCTATAAAGTATATATATTCTTGATCAGGATCACCTCCTGAGTTGATATGAGCATGTCCGTCTGTCCGTCTGTCTGTCCGTTTCTACGCGAACTAGTCTCTCAGTTTTAAAGCTATCGTCTTGAAACTTTGCACACACCCTTTTTTCCTTTGCACGCAGTGTATAAGTCGGAACGGCCCGGATCGGCCGACTATATCCTATAGCTGCCTTATAACTGATTGATCGGAAATGGTTTAACTTTAGTGTTTTTAAAGTTAGAGAGCTCAAATTTGACATGAGAGCATTTTTTGGCAAAATATTATGACATGCCAAATTTCATAAGGATCGGCCGACTATATCCTATAGCTGCTATATAACTGAACGATCGGAAATGACCCAACTTTCGTGTTTTTGAAGATAGAAAGTACAGATTCTATTTTTGGTCAGTTGATCCAACCTACCAAATTTCATTGGGATCGGCCGACTATATCCTATAGCTGCCATATAACTGACTTCGGGAGGAGCCGCAGTTGATATACCCTTGCAGTTAAAACCGCATATATATCGCAATCATCGGATATAGTTGGCCGATCCTTATGAGAATATGATAATATAACCCAATTTATTATTATAAAAAATTTAAAAAAAAACCCAAACTTCTATTTTCAAAAATACCAAAGTTGGTATTTCTACCAAAAACCACTTCCGATCGTTCAGTTATGTGTCAGCCGATCGTTATGAAATTTGGAAGGTCGGATCAACTGACCAAAAATATAATCTGTAAGTTCCAGCTTTCTATCTTCAAAAACACAAAAGTTGGCTCATTTCCGATCGTTCAGTTATATGGCAGCCATAGGATACAGTCGGCCGATCCCTATGAAATTTGGCATTTTCTCTATAAAAGGGGGGAAAGGGGACATCTCCGACCCTATAAAGTATATATATTCTTGATCAGGATCACCTTCTGATTTGATATAAGCATGTCCGTCTGTCTGTCTGATTGGTGTCGGCCCCGCCCGAAGTTAGCATTCCTTTGTTGTTATCATCAAATTAGGGGCTAGAAGCCGGTTGGTAGCAAACAGAAAAGGTTCTGAAGCACCGTTTTTAGTTCTCCTTGTTTAAGGAATTGAAACCTTGCTTGCATAAACAACAAGTCGATGGAAAAACATCTATTTTACCCACTACGACTGACATTAGGTCAGGGAGCTACCTAGAAAAAGCCCAAAGCTTTGATGATTCTGATGTATGGTTGAAAAACAAAAGCGCGAAAAAGGCGACTGGATATGCTTCATGGATACTGGATACTCCTGGGAAAAAAAGGAAGAAAATTATGCAAAAATGGTTATACAATATATATATTATTATATTATAATATATTATACAAGGGTATATTGTAGTCGTGTGAATGTATGTAACATAGAGAAACAATCATCTCCGGCCCCATAAGGTATACTACATGTATTCTTGATCAGCATCAACAGCCGAGTCGATATAGCCTTGAAAAAAACTTTCAGAAACGACTATTTGTGGGAAATTTAAAGTATTTGATTGCTGAGTTTGCCAAGTACCATGCATGGAAATAAAAGCAGACTCATTCTTTATACCTAATTTTAAATGTAACATTTACATAATTATTAAATTTACAAATATTAAAGACATTTTTTGCAATGAAAAATATTTCAAATATGTAGCTGTTCATAATCCGTTCGTAATCCGTAGTCATAAGTATAATCCGTACAGCTTACTGGTGGGATTGGGTGGGCTCTAACAGGTAATATCAATAAAATTCCCATCTGTTTGAACTGAGACAGTATATTTTCAACCAATTGCTGCAATATGAGAGAACTGTAGTCTGGAGCCAGGTCGACCAGGCTCCATAAGATAATATATACAACCTGTAAAGTTTATAACACTCAGATATCAGAGATGTTTATTCCCTTGGGGACTTGATGCCTGCGGATCGAGAAGCCATTCCAGATAACTGGTCAATACTGGAAAAGTTGTTAGATGATTACTTACTTGTTTATATATGTGTCACTTCTTCTTAACGACGACGGGAACGATCCCTAAACCTAGAGTACAGCCAGAGTACAACCAAGTCTTTTGATTTTAATTTTTGATTTAAGTTTATTTTAGTTTGTTTTTTTCTATTTAATTGCTTACAACACTCACAAATTGCGGAGCTAATGTTTCGTTTTCCGTTTAATAGTTTTGATCAGTTGCGTTCAGTTCAATAAATAATAATGTAAATATCGATTTTGTTTTAATAACTTTTATTATTTCCATTCTTCTCCACCTCAGTGACTAGATCAATTTTTGAAACTTGATCCTGGTAGTTTTGTTTTGGGTTGTATTATAATAGTTCCGTATTTAAATATATATTTAGGAGTGCCGCAGAAATCGGATCGGAAACAGTATCGCATCCAGCACATAACTTTGCCGGGCAGGTGAGTGTCTCTGACATCGCAGAGCTTCCGTCGTGCCTCATATACGAAGATACTCGGAAGATTCCTTTGTTGGTAAAAAGGGAAGGGAGAAAGGACTGGATTCCGAGTCAGGGATCCGGTTCTGATTTCTGTGGCACCCCTTGTTAATGTATTTTATTGGTTTTTGGTTTGTTCATTATTTTTTTTTATTTTTTTTTTTATTTTATTCGTTTTCATTCATTTTATTTTAGTTTTTTGGGTTCGTTAGTATTACAATTAAATTTAACTCGTTAATGGATTGCTTAGCTAAAAAAAATCGTCTTATAGTTAGTTCGACACATCTTGATTTAGTTAGAAAGTTTGTAGTTTGAGTTGGTTGGAGGAGTAACGTGGAAGGGTTCTAGTGCAGTTTGCTTCGTCAGTGGTCGGCTGGGAGGAGGAGGACTATGTAGTTCATGTGCGGTTAAGCTCTAGTTAGTACCTATTGAGCAGGCAATGAAGAGTAGTTCAAAGCCCGGAACCGGTTTGTGGGAACCCATGTCCGGATCCTGAGCCTGGTGCCTGTGAGCTAATCCGAGCGGGTCGCCTCGGAGCCTGGGCTCTGACATTCAGAGGACTAAACAACCTGACTTACGCTATTGCTAGTATATAGTTAAATACGTTTGTATATATATATATATATTTATAATTATATTTATATTTGTATTTATATATGTGCATGATTTCTGCTTTCTTTAACATTATAATGCCACGCTAAAATTCAATACACAATTCGCTTAGATCCTATGACTAGTTGTCTATTACAATACCTTTCATTTGCAATTATTTACCTTCTACTCCGTATCTCCACCCTCGTCCCTTTCTCTCCACTCTCCTTGGATCCGAATAAAAAAAGTTAAAAAAAAAAACAATCATATTAACAAGTCTTATAAGTAATATCTCGACTAGAGCTGCAAACGCCAACGGACGATTACAATCTACGCCTGAATTAGTTTCAACCGAATGCAATTTAGTCCTTTTTCGATATGGATCTTGGGTATGGAAACTAATGTCTTGCTGGCTAACTGGCTGACTGGCTGACTGACTGACTAGGTGACTGAGTGACCAAGTGACTGACTGAGACACACACACTCTCTTATGTACATATATACACCGATATATGCATAGATATAGACAGAGACCTTTGTGGATGCTGCGGGACACCGTTTGACGCACTTGCCTTTAAAACACCGCACATCATCGGGTGAGTTGCGATCTTTTAAAAGAAGTCGTCAAAGGTTTTTGATTATGTCTGGTACTGCAGCATCGGAGCCGACAAGTTGGGATGATGCGAGGAGTTCATCCGCAGGGCGGACAGGCTTTTGTTGTACCATTCGTCCTCCGGTGACATTCCTGCAAAACAGATTAGAACAGAAGAGAGACCGGGGTCCGTGCTTAATGATGTGAATTAAATAATTTTTCCATGTATTTGCGACATATATTAAATCAGTTTACTTTGACGCTTTGCATTTCCCGAATGCGGAAATTTCCAGTTACCCTTCCAGATTTCAAGATGCTGCCCAGTCCTGTCCTGTCCCGTCCTGTTGCGTTCTACCCTGCCCTGCCTTACATGTCCTGCTCGCAACCGCCTCAAGACGGAGCCGGAAATTAATTTCACTGTCGAACCTATTCCTTTGGCCGGCTCCTTCATAATATCCGGCTGTCATGCCTTTACGCCCTTGCACCGTCTTCCTGCCCTGCCCCACTCCGTGAGTGCTTTCGGACAAATTTGGATGTTTCACTATGGTACATTTCCAGGGCGAAGTCACACAATATGTACGGCGTCTCAGGGGAGACGCCTGCCCTCCTTTGCCTGCCCTCCGATCAGCAGACACCTCGAATTTCGACACCCGAGCCGACGCCTGCAGCGGAAATTTACTTGGACCCACGGAAAAGCTGTCGAAGTCCCTTCTCGAGAGAGACCAGAGAGTCGCCCAAGACCGTGATTAAGCTCCATCCCGAGAGCTTAAGCTCTTCGGAACAGAGCGGCACCTCAGCTGATCGTGGAAGCTTTCGCCTGTGGCTCTGAGCCAGCTATCTGTCCACAGCTGTGCAACCCATCTTGCATTCGCTGTCGATCAGTGGACATGAGCAGGTGAATCACTTCTGAGCTCAAGGTTTTGTGAAAGTGTATAGTATGTAGTGGTCAGTGTTCGGTACTCATGCCCAAGAGGGCCAAAGCGATAAGTGTCTTGGAGGACTAGGCCTAGGTAAGTGATATTGTCCCCCTCATCCTCAGCGAACTTACCCATCGAGTCCTGCCGGACCCCGACAGACCCCATGTTCGTACTGTGGGCCATGGAGAACGGTTGTGTCATGCCGGGATACGAGGAAGCGCCCATTTGAAAAAGATCCTGGAAACGGGAATGGTGTTAGTTAGAGTCAGATTTCTGTCATGTATTTGGAAAAGCTTAAGCTCAGGCTCACCTGGGGATAGCGATTCATGGTGTTGTGATGCGGATACGGCTGGTACCCGCGGGAGACACTGTAGCCCTGGATGTTTCGCATCATTCCGTTGCAGGACGGGATCACAGACGGTGCCAGCGCCTTTTGCAGCTGCTTCTCCTGCTTGCGATACTTGGCTCGTCGGTTCTGAAACCAAACCTGAAATGAGGAAAGGGATATAAGTTTTTTTTTTTGGTCCTTTTTCGCCCTTTTTCGGCGCTCTTTAAGGCGCTTTCTATTCCAATTTGGATTTTCTTCTTGTGGCCCCGGGACTGGTTGGGATCTTAAAAGGGTGGGTTGTTGATGAGAAAAATAAGAAGACGAGACCAAATAGCAAAATCCCCCTTAGCCGTAGCAGTCCCCATCACCAACGCTGTCCCTCTGTCCCAATTCCAGGCCTCTGTCTTTGCCTCTGGCTCGGGACGTTGCCAACGTCTTATGAGTGAAAAAATCTACTAAATTGAAATTGAAAATAAGTTGACGACGCTGTGTGGTATAAGGGTCTGGCCGGTCCCTGCTCTCCGAGCGAGTGCTGGGTCGGGGAGGGCCAGTCCACTCCTCTTCTCAGATATTATTAAAGACGGTCCTCGTCTTGATGATGGGACCGGGCTCCTTGCGCGCAGCGTCCTGCCCAGTCCGCCCGCCTCCGATGGCAAAAAGAAATTGCCAAGATGAAAGCCGCGCTCCACCCCAGACAACGTGGCGGGTGAAGCGGGTGTGTAGCGGTGGGTGTAGTGTGGGTGGGTGTGTAAAAATTTCCGACATTTTGAAAGCTGCTCAGCTTGCTTTGAGTTACTTGCGAGTGGTGGAGGACATGGCCCGAGGGTCGGAAAGAAGTGGGATGACTGGATGCTTTGGGGTTGGGGATAAGGATAAAGATGAGGATGAGGCATGGGCGGTAATGGCGGCACCCAGACGAATCGAGGTGAGGGTGGCTGGTACTGGGGCTGGGACTGAGCTGTAGTGGCTGCCTGTGTTTCCTGTCGTCTTTTTCCTCGTTTTTATTTTCTTTTATTTATTTTATCATTATTATTATCTTTGTCCATGACTATGTATCTGTGTTCGGGCGTGTGGGTGTGTGGCTGTAATGTGTGCCTGTGTGGGTGACTCGCCTTTAAATGAGAAATGAGAAATACAAGCTGGCCCTGCCCGGTTTGGAGGGTTGTTTTCAGGGCCCTCTTTATGGCTCGGTCGGTATCGCTTGGTTCGGTCTGGTTTGGTCTGGTCTGGTTGGCTGCCAGCATAAAAATTCCAGCTAGGGCGCCATCACACACGTACACACAGATATGTACGTGTCCCTGGACCTGTGTATGGGCAAGGCGGCAGTCGGATGGGTGTGCTGCTAAATAATGCTCTTAACTATCAGCTATGTATGGGCTGTTTGGGCTCGGGGTGGAAATGCGTTATCTGAATGATTCAATGGTTCTCTGTCTATCTGTCGTTCAATTTCTAGCGCCTGTCTGTGCGCCGGTGTGTATCCCCTCGCTGCTGTGTGTGTGTGTGTGTGGGTCTGTGGGCGGGGTAACTCAATTAAGGATCCATTTGATGGCACACATACACATCCATCCCCAACACACACACATCCGAGAAAACAACAAACAACAATATCGAATGGAAATACACTCGAATTCAGCTAACTTTTCGCTCTGGCTCGCCTTTGATAGGCGGGACGAAGGACCCTGCCCCAGCCCCATTGTATCCCGCTTAAAGTCGTCGCTTTAAAGCGTGGCCTAAACATAAACATCTATTCTGGGGAGTAATTAGATGAATGAAAATTATAACTACAAATAGCCATGGTCGGGCAGGCACACAAACACGGAATACGGCTTCTACACAGGCACAAACCGGCCTGCCAGCCTGCATATTTCCAGCCGGAAATATGAAAATTAAACGTATTCAAATTTAATTTGCTCTCAGTATTTAATCAAATTGAGCCGCTGCCAACGTTTGTTTTTGCTCGGTTTTGGTTTTTTCCATTCGCTTCATTTAGAGCTTTTCCCTCAAATTTTGTTATGCTTTTTTTTTGCGCCGGTCTAACTCGTCGTGAGTAAGGCAGGATCTCTGGCTCACCAGGTTCACCCGGTGCGTTGACCTACAATGCTAAGTCCGGCTAATTGTCAGCTGACCCTTCGCCGAGCTGACTGCCGCAGGTGATTGCCGAAAAGTGCTTGGACTTGGGACCGGACAGCAACACACAGCGGCGATGGATGTTTACGTGACGACTTGGCATGCCCCTTCTGGCGCCTGAGCCTGGGCTGGAGGCTGAGCCGGAGTCGGAGCCTGAACCGAAGCCTAAGCAAACACAAAATAATAAACAAACACGCCGGGAAAGTGCAAGCTTTCAAATCGTCTCATGTTTCTTGAATGTCTCATGCTAGCGAATTACAATAAGCTGACAGTGCGTTTTCTGATCATTTAAATAGATGGCAATCCCCGCAAGGACAGCTGTCCAAGAACCCCGCAGATCATCGAATTCGAGTTGTTATCCTATTTCTGAAGGTGGACTTTAGTTGAGTTATTTAATGTTGCTAAATATTTTTATTTTTTTTTATTTATTGTAAAAGTTTTATAGACATGATCTAATATACCTTCGCCTTCCAAAGACCAGTGGTTTAATGCGCGAAATATTTTATAAAAAAAAACTATCCGAATCCTATGATTATAGTAGTCGGAATGGTATATGAAAAGTTTTTAATGGAATTCTAATCCTTTTCTTATCTTTCAGCCCTACCTTGGTGGATTCTGACTCCACTTGTCGCTTTTTATACCCTTGCAGAGGGTATTATAATTTTGTCCAAAAGTGTGCAACGCAGTGAAGGAGACATCTCCGACCCAACAAAGTATATATATTCATGATCAGGATCACCTTCTGAGTTGATATGAGCATGTCCGTCTGTCTGTCTGTTTCTACGCGAACTAGTCTCTCAGTTTTAAAGCTATCATCTTGAAACTTTGCACACACCCTTCTTTCCTTTGCACGCAGTATATAAGTCGGAACGGCCCGGATCGGCCGACTATATCCTATAGCTGCCATATAACTGATTGATCGGAAATGGTATAACTTTAGTGTTTTTAAAGTTAGAGAGTTCAACTTTGACATGAGAGCTATTTTTGGCAAAACATTACGACATGCCAAATTTCATAAGGATCGGCCGACTATATCCTATAGCTGCCATATAACTGAACGATCGGAAATGACCCAACTTTCGTGTTTTTGAAGATAGAAAGCTGTAACTTAGTACTGATTATATTTTTGGTCAGATAATCCGACCTACTCAATTTCATAAGGATCGGCCAACTATAGCTGCCATATAACTGAACGATCGAAAATGTTTTTTGGTAGAAATACCAACTTTGGTATTTTTGAAGATAGAAGTTTGGGACTTTTTTTTAGATTTTATATTATAATAAATTGGGTTATATTATTTTATTCTCATAAGGATCGGCCAACTGTATCCGATGTTTGCGATATATATACGGTTTTAACTGCAAGGGTATATGAACTTCGGCTCCGCCCGAAGTTAGCTTTCCTTTCTTGTTTTATTATCTCCAAGACTCCAAGACCCTATTGTGTAGAATTATTAGTATAAGGTGGGCTCTACAAAGTAGGCAATAGGTTTTGAAACTTTGGGTGTATTTATTGAGTATTAACAAATATTTCATGAAGGAAATACTTAAAATATTATGAGTATTGATTTTTAAAAATTCAAACAATTTTGTTGGGTTCATTAATTGCTTCTGTAATTTTTGTACCGATCTTTGGAATAAACTCCTTTCAAAAGTCAAGAGTTTCAAAACTATGGGAAATGTATATTTATAAAAGTTATACAAAACTTTTCTGACTGATTTAATTGGAGATATGGGGACTAACAATAATTCTCTAAACACTTTCCACAAAATCAAACAATCTTTTTGAAAATAAATTCAATTCTGTTAGATACACAGCTTCAAGTGCTGATATTTTGATTCCTGCCTAAGCTGGGGTTCATCATTTTCATCATTATTCAGAATTTGTACACATTTCGAACACATTGTTTCATATTTCTGTAACAAATCAATGAAATAATTGACTCTGAAGCAGTGCAGCCCGAAATTGGACAAGTGAATATTATTATGCACACCCCAGTAGTCGCACTCGGCCCTTGAGATACGTTTAGATTTTCCAGGCAGATGTGCCCGGCAACGCCCCCTTTCTGCCCAACCGCCCATCTAGTTGATTTCGCATCAAAAAGAATACTCGACAAATTTGTCAACACCAACAAGAAAACAGCAACATCATCGGCAACAGCCACAACGTGGTGGTGTGGCGAAGTTTGTTTTTGACGGTGCCGAGTGGCAGAGTCAAGTTGTGAGCGACGGCGCCGCACACTCGTCAAATTACAGGGGCGGGGGCACATGCCAGGACAGCGGAAAGGGGGTTGCACCGCCCGCCCCGCTCCCAAATAAATATTTGAACATTTGTCGGAAAATACGGTTAATGCTATTCTAATAGCCCGACGACGCTTTCTGGTTTCGATTCTGGTTCCCGGAGTGTAATTTTATCGCAAACTGTTGTTCCGCCCGGGGAGGGGGCAGGATGGTCGGGCTGCGGATTATGATTGCAAATTTTTGTTTATGAGGAGTGTATCATAAAGCAGACGCTAGGGCCTGCTTGGGCCCCTAAACGATGGGTTCCTAGCCAACCGTAATCGATCGGTGCAACACGAGCAGATATAAATAAAAGCTCAAAGTTCGCGTCGAGGTTTGTTTTGAAAAAATTAAAATTAGAAGAAGAGCCACTTGACAATCTAGATTCTAGACTCTAGGAGTAAAACTTAATCTAGCAAATTTCTTGAAAAAGAATAAGGTTTGGAATGTACCCCAATTGCAGATGGCCAAGCTATTTGAAACATTCTAAGAACATGGGTCTAGAAATTTTCTTGACTCATAACTTATTCTTTTAAAGTTTTTAAAGATTTTAATTATTTATCAGTTTAAAAGATCTACCTTATTTTTTGAACATTTGAAACCACTTCGTTCTTCGAGTAAATTTTATTTGATTGTCTTGAAATATGTATCTCAACACTTGGGTATTAAATAATTTAAGTTTAAATTAAATAATGAAGAACTAATATTTAATTAAATGAAGATTCAAAAATGTAAAAAGATTCCATTTTTGCAAGAGAGTAGTCATTTCCTTGCACCTCCCTATCCTTCTAGGTTGAGCTGATCATCTCAGAGACAACAAGACATATATTCGTATGGAGACTCTTGATATCAAATATATCAGCTATTTCTTTTTTTTATAAATATGCAATTCTAGTTATGTAACTAGAATTGTAGCACTATTTCGAGTGCTATTTTATTGACGATCCACTTATTTTGATAATCAATTCCCCAATTGCTCTTTGTAAAGCCACTTCAAAGGAAACTTTTCATGAAAGGCACTTGTTGGAAACACTTTCTAAAAACCCCGTAAAAACGAACATAATGTCGTGTAACTCAACACCGCAATCCCTGATGCATTCAACCCTCCGGGAAGGTCCTGCGGAGCGGAGTGGCAGTGGCAGTGGAGTGGAGCCACACGCCGCATTCACTTGTCTAGCAGTCATGATAAAACTATAAATTAATTTTACAGCGGCGCACTTGAAAGCCTGAAAATGTACAGGGCAGAGTCAACGAACCAAGCCCGGGCTCAAAATCCGAGTTCAGAGTCCGCGATACCCGGAGGGTCTGATCTGGGCCGGTCCAGTACGGCCTGGCCTGGCATGAGCACTTGAGAGCAACACCACTGGGAAGCAGTCGCTCGGAATAATCGCTCGATAATCGGTGACTTGGATCTGATCAGCAGGATGTAGCGACCACCGACTAGCGACCACCAGACGCAGGCATGGATCTGCGATGAGGAAGCGTGGTTGGAAGCCCCCCGCCCTCTTCCCGAGTCGATTTCTATTTGGCGTGAACAACTGTTGAATTTTAGGTAATTGGCTACGTTCAAGCAGTCCAGGGGGGTCCGGAGGGTGTGGTTGGACGCGGGATGGGGGGTGGTACTCCGCGGAGCTGTCATCAATGGAATGGCTTTACTCACTTGAATCCGCGCCTCGTTCAGCTTTGTAGTGCGCGCCAGCTCTTCGCGGCAGTAAATATCCGGATAATGCGATTTCGCAAATGCAGCTTCCAGTTCCGCTAATTGTTCCTGAAATTAAGCGGATTGTAATTAGGCTAATTTTTTAGGCAGTACTTTCCTGTTCTCTTCTTGTTTCTCTGTTTTATTGTACGTTTGCTGTTTACTTTTGATCACAAACCGAAAATCACATATCTACCAGAAACAAACTATCCTTTCTTCGCTTTTATACCTTGAAAAAATACTGGTCCAATAGAACAAAGAAGAAGGTACAATGTTTATTTTTTTAACATATGTACTAGCCAGGACAGCTAGGAATTTTTAAATATTGCATTAAAAATATTAAAAACCTTCTCCTTTGAGTTGATAAATGTTCATTTGTTTCTTTAAGAAGCCAACAATGAGGTTTAATTGCTTCTGATAAACTTGTAGGGTACCTTTGTATAGCTGTGATTTCTTTGTCCTTATATGATACTACCCCTAATATTTGTTCAGCTTAAAATAATGGATTTATTAGAGACTCTTCTTGGAGAGCTCGGCAAGCTATGGTCATAATCAAGATTAAGAAGATTATGACCCCAGGGTTATGTTTTGCTATTGAAATGTTGCGTCATGGCACCTTATTAGTGAAATGGAGAAGGATTAACGGAAGGCTCTAGCTGGGCCCAATCACTCATACTTGCTCGAGCCTCGCCCTCCAAAGGGAGGAAATTGGCGAGTTCTCGTTCTCAAACTGGACACCAAGCTCCCTTTTGTTGCTGGCCTCATGCTCTTGTGGCAGCAAAGTTTTAATTACGAGTAACCTTCACGAAATCTAATTAAAATTTCTCCGACAGGTCTCTGGGACCGCCAGGGAAGTAGGGAGTAGGACACTGGGTAAAGGTGTAAGGTGAACGGTGAAAGGAGAAGCGAGAAGAGAGAAAGTAGAGAGGCGGGAAACTGACCTGTGTGAATGTGGTTCGATGTCTCCGCCTGGCTGGTGTGGGGCAGGATGCTGTGGTTGGGGTGTGGCCGGCGTGCTGACTCAGCGTTGATAATCCACTTCCTGGCGATGTGATGCCTGTGGAAACCGTCGAGAGGCCGCTGTTGGGTTCCGGCTTGAGCTTCTTGAAGGCTCCCTCTGCTGCAAAGACACCACATCGGGGTTACTCAGATTCACATTAAAGATTTAACGACCGGCCGGTGCCAGTCACTACGCCTGATTAATATGCGGGAAACGTTTAGCCAAAAGCCCTCTGTCCCACTCTGCTCCCCCCGCCTCGTCTGTGACCCCGTCGACCTTTTGACCCTTAAAATGTTGCATAATTGCCCAGGAAACAGTAACAACAGCAACCTCAACCGTCAACATTAGAGCTGCGGCCACAAGACGCTGTGCTGGCATCTATTGTCGAGGCTCGGCTGACGACCTGAAAAAGCTGAAAAGTTCTGGGACCGGCCCGACACTTGGGTCACGTTGCCATGGCGGCCATACCGACCATGGCGGCGGCGATGGCGGTCGCATGAATATGCAATATGGGATAATTTATGCAAATTTCAGCCACATTAATCGAGGCAGAGTACCTGGGTACCAGGACGCAGGTCGCAGGTCGCGGATTGCTGGTCACAGGGTGCTGCTTCCAGACAGCCCAGCAGTCGGTCCCAGCTCATGATGTCATTTGCCAAACGCGTGCCAAAAGGCGGCAAATTATGGGCAAATGCCAAAGGTTAAAGTAGGGGCGCAAAATGCGGTACGCAGGACACGGGGCATGACTTGGGGATGTGGCTGCTTTGGCGCTTAATTGGCGCGCTTAGCTCGTTAACGAAATGTAAACTATGTAGAAAATGCTGGATGTCGCCGCACTAATTGGTTTATACACAATCTCCGTCGATACCTAGTCCTGGTCGAAACGAGGCGAGTACTGTTATTTATGTTTAGTAAGCCTCCCCTCTCCGCCTCTGCAGGCCCTAGTCTAATGCAATTGACCTTGCTGGATGTGGCTTTGTGTGGGCCAAGCTGCTCCGGCCCCGGTTGGCCTGCCTGTCGGCTGTTGCACAACCAAACAAGGTCAAACAATCCTCGCCAGTCGCCGCCGCCAGTTGCACGTAGAAAGAATTATGCAGATGCAGATTAAGGCTTTCCGCTCGGGCGAAGGATAAACTTTTCTGCTAACCATGGCACGTCATTGGTCATCCGATGCCCAGGAGTGAAGTGACAGGGCTATGTGCATCCACGAGAGGGATAAATATACCCCGTACTCTCCGAGTACGAGAAATATGCCTTATCGAAAATATTTACATGTAACAGAAAGCAAGGCCCAAAATCATAAAGTATATTATATTTTTCCTTGATCAGCATTAAAATTCGAGTCGTTCTAGCTATTTCATAAAGATTCTATACGAGAGGGGTCACTTACGAAAAATTCTTAAACACTTTCTATACATTTTTATTCTGCTGTTTATATTCTTTCTATTACATATCAGAAGTCTACTTTAGAAGAAGTAAAACAAAAAATATTCTGAAACCAATCAATATTTATTATTTGTCTGTTAAATAATAAATTAGTTTTTCTAAAGACACGAGAGTGATTTTAGATCATACAGCCAAACAAACTCTACTTTAATCTTCATCCTTTTTATTTAATTTTAAGAATGTCAAAATTGATCACAACATATACATATGTATATGCTAGTCGCATATATGTACATACCTTAGAAATTATTGGACTAACAGTAACAGTGCATCTTTAACAAAAATTTATTTTTTTGTTAAATTATTGCGAAATGGTGTTAATCTCCATAATGTCTACAGCTTTATCCAGAGTCAAAGAAGTCATAAAAATAAGTTTAAGATCACCTTACTATTTGTAGAACTAACACAAACACCTATGTATCTTGGCATTAATCGACTTGATTTCTATCTCTTAAATAAGAAAGACAGGATGGCTATAGTCAAGTTTCCCAACTATTTTATACCCCGTAATCATCTCTTCTACCCACAATTTAACTAAACTTTATTGTTTAAACTTTAACGGTATAGATTCAGCAACAATTTTTTTTTCATACTTTTGCGCTTGGGCGAGACAAGCAGCCCGGAAACAGGGAAGGGAAGCAGACTAAAAAGTCTATAACTCTAAAAATTATCCGATTATTGGCTGCTTTTTATACCCTTGCAGAGGGTATTATAATTTTGTCCAAAAGTGTGCAACGCAGTGAAGGAGACATCTCCGACCCTATAAAGTATATATATTCTTGATCAGGATCACCTCCTGAGTTGATATGAGCATGTCCGTCTGTCCGTCTGTCCGTCTGTCCGTCTGTCTGTCTGTCTGTCTGTCCGTTTCTACGCGAACTAGTCTCTCAGTTTTAAAGCTATCGTCTTGAAACTTTGCACACACCCTTCTTTCCTTTGCACGCAGTATATAAGTCGGAACGGCCCGGATCGGCCAACTATATCTTATAGCTGCCATATAACTGATTGATCGGAAATGGTATAACTTTGACGTTTTTAAAGTTAGAGAGTTCAAATTTGACGTGAGAGCATTTTTTGCAAAACATTACGACATGCCAAATTTCATAAGGATCGGCCGACTATATCCTATAGCTGCCATATAACTGAACGATCGGAAATGACCCAACTTTCGTGTTTTTGAAGATAGAATGGTGAAATTTAGTACAGATTCTATTTTTGGTCAGTTGATCCAACCTACTAAATTTCATTGGGATCGGCCGACTATATCCTATAGCTTCCATATAACTGAACGATCGGAAATTACCCAACTTTTGTGTTTTTGAAGATAGAAGTTTGGGATATTTTTAGGTTTGGTTTTTGTATTATATTAAATTGGGTTATATTATCATATTTTCATAAGGATCGGCCAACTATATCCGATGTTTGCGATATATATCCGGTTTTAACTGCAAGGGTATATAAACGTCGGCTCCGCCCGAAGTTAGCTTTCCTTTCTTGTTTAATTGTAGATTAGCCATTGCAACAGCTTGGCATAAAAACATTCCCAGTTTGGCATACCCAAAAACATTAACAAACTGGCGCTGACATCAGATTTCTGTTGCGGGGGAAGCATTTGGCAAAATTAAGACATAAACTTGATCTGCGCGGACATCATACGATTCAAAGTTCCAAATCTGATAGTTCTATCTTTTATAGTCTTCGAAATCGACGTGTTCAAAATTTTAATTTTTTTAAAAACCTTCCAGTACTTGTACAAAATTTTGCCGTTTAAACAAACTTGAACTGTGTGGGCATTGTAGAAGTCTCCATGCCAAATCCTATAGCTATATTTCTTGTAGCTTCTGAGATCCACGCGTTCATACGGACAGACGGACATGGCTATATCGACTCGGCTGTTAATGCTGATCAAGAATATACACGATTCACATGAGCCAACATCGTTCTAATCTCCTTATATAGTATTTAATTCTATAAGCTTTGGGTTCTGTTCTCTCTATATAATATTTAATTCTTGGTTTCTTATTGATTGGAATAACTGTCACAGCCATGGAATTAATTAAATGACTATACCATACTACTTTGTGTCCTACATATAAGGAAAAAAGTCGAATGATTGTATGTAGACTACTTTTTGTCCCAGAGTGAAAAGTATAAGTGAAAAGTGAAAGAACTAATCCTATGTTTATACCTAGATTACTTTGTGTGTTCCGAAAATGTCCGGTCACATGACTGATTTTCGTTCTATGTACAAAAAAGATAGTATAAGAACCCGAGTTCGATACGAAATAGGATGTACACTTAGTGGATCCTTTGTGTCACAGCGAATAAGCCAAACTAATAAATCATATAGGCGAAACTAACACATCGAATAAGTACATGTGAACCCATTTCGTTCTATGTTAAAAAAATACAATAAGAATACCGCATACAATACGAAACAGGATATAACGGACTCTTCATGTCATAGAAAATAAAGTAAAATAACATATCAAATAAACCAAACTAACATATCGAATAGGAACATGTGAACCGATTTTTTTTTTATGTTGAAAGTATTCCTTCGTGTTATAGCGAATAAGCCAAATTAATATAAAGAATAAGCCGAACTAACATATCGAATAAGTACATGCGAAACAATACTATAAGAATAGCGAATAGAATACGAAACAGGATATCCGATTTAACGGACGCTACGTGTCGTAGAAAATAAACAAAACTAACATATCAAATAAGCCATACTAACATATCGAATAAGCGAAACTAACATCTTCGTTGAAAACATACTATAAATATATCGAATATGATATCCTTTGTGTCATAGCAAATAAACCAAACTAACATATATCGAATAAGTCGTATTAAAAAATCGAATACGCGAAAGTAACATACCGAATAAGAACATGTGAACCGATTTTCGTTGTATGTTAAAAATATTTTATAAGAATACCGAATACGACACGAAACAGGGTATCCTACTTAACGGGTCCTTCGTGTTATAGCGAATAAGCCAAATTAATATATCGAATAAGCCGAACTAACATATCGAATAAGTACATGTGAAACAATACTATAAGAATAGCGAATAGGATACGAAACAGGATATCCGATTTAACGGACCCTACGTGTCGAAGAAAATAAACCAAACTTACATATCAAATAAGCCATACTAACATATCGAATAAGCGAAACTAACATCTTTGTTGACAACATACTATAAATATATCGAATATGATACGAAAAAGGATATCCGATTTAACGGACCCTATGTGTCATAGCAAATAAACCAAGCTAACATATATCGAATAAGTCGTATTAAAATATCGAATACGCGAAAGTAACATACCGAATAAGAACATGTGAACCGATTTTCGTTGTATGTTAAAAATATTTTATAAGAATAGCGAATAGGATACGAAACAGGATATCCGATTTAACGGACCCTACGTGTCGTAGAAAATAAACAAAACTTACATATCAAATAAGCCATACTAACATATCGAATAAGCGAAGCTAACATCTTTGTTGAAAACATACTATAAATATATCGAATATGATACGAAAAAGGATATCCGATTTAACGGACCCTATGTGTCATAGCAAATAAACCAAGCTAACATATCAAATAAGTCATACTAACATTTCGAATACGCCAAAGTAACATCTTTGTTGAAAACTTACTATAAGTATAACGAATACACTACAAAACAGAATATCCGATTTAACGATTATAGATTATCAAAAGCGAATAAGCCAAAAAATAAGTCGAATAAGTCAAAGTAACATTCGAAAAAGTCAAACTAACGCTTTGAATCAGCGAAACTAACATATCGAATAAGTAAACGTTTACCCTAGGGCATGGAAAATACTAGTCATATGACCGGATTTTCCATCTATGTATAAAATTTAAAAAGAAAAAAAAACATATAAGAATGTGAATGATCCAATTTAAAGGATGATTTCGTGTCATAGCGAATAAGCCAAACTACCACATCGAATAATTAAGTGTGATAACCACAAAGTGATAAAAGCTTATGTTACCCTATTTCATTCCAGTATGTAACTCAATGTTACTAATTTTATTAAATTGTTACTAGTACTATTATAGAAAACAGTATGTGCTAAATTTTGTTAAATATATACTTACTTCAAAAGTTAATCTGTATGTGTTTATTTTAAGTTTTGTGTCATTTGAATTAATATTCAAATAAATAAGATTTCAACTTATAAAGCTGACGGTGGTTTTAAGGAACCATATGTTTCCCTGTCCATAAATATGTTTGATATCTGTATGTATATATAAACATCTCACTTAACTCTTAATTAGCTATTTTAAAATAACTGTGTAACTAATAATAAAAACCGAATCATTTTTGACCTCTTGAATTAGCTGATTTCTTAAGCTCATATGCAAACAGACCCTCACATTGAAAGAACATTTTTCAGAAGACGATTTACGGGTTGTTAAACCCATCCTTTCATTGAAAACCTTTTGGGATTCAGAATTCTGTTTAAAAAAATTTTTTGAAACCTATAGAAAATTTATATATGACCTTCTAATTATGACCTTTTACATGACGATTTTGATAGTTTTATTGAAATACCGACGGCAGAGCAAACTTTATTAACTCGATTTAATATATCGGTGTTCAATCAGGCGTTAAAGTGTTTAAAACGGTCGTAATATAAGTATTAATATTTTTAATTTATTAATTTTTTGATGAATTATTAGTCAGTGCGTGGATATACCCTTAGTGAGGTGGTCTTTGGAGAAGAAAAAGAAAAGGATTGTTTATCAATACTCCTGGGTTTTATTTACTATTGTACAAGTATATCGAATTCGTGATGTGGTATGTATGGTATGTAACAGTTAGAAAGAATCCTTTTCAACCCAATAAGGAACATACATATGTTTGCACTACATTCTTAATTAAAACCAACACTAGATGATCTAGCCTTTTCCATCTGAGGGTCTGTCAGTCTATAAAAAATTACATTTTTCTTAAGAATCAATTAGGAAAATCTTTCATTAAGATCTGAAAAAATTCATTCACAAAGATGTAAAAATAGAGGTGTACTTTGTATCACATAAACTCGTGGAACTTTACGATAGCCATTCTTTGAGTAACTTTCCTTTATTAATTCGTATTGTTAGCTTTTCTAGTTATATTGTTAGTGTTGTAGTACTTTTTTAGTTAGGTCTAGTAGGTTCTAAAAGGGTGAGTATGGGTTCGTTTTTTCCTCGGCTTAAATTTTGGGAAATATTTTCAGCAATGTACAAAAAATACGAACACTCTAGAATACTATACAATATTTACCGACATAGAGCAACAGTCGGTAAACGGACGAGACTGTATCTACTTTTTATGTGACTGTAAGCCATAGTGTCAAAACTTAAGCAGTTTGACGTAATGTCTTCATAACTCCGATTGAGATGAAAAACTATACATGGGCCAAAAGAAGAAAAGAGTGAAAAAGAGAGATGTAATGGTTATGGTAAATAAATTTTAGTGGCATCACCTAGGAAATAGAATGATTTCAAATATGGCTATACACAAAGTGTGATATTGAATAGATCATGTGAAACTCTGAAGGGGCCTACCAGCTCAGCTGCTCTACCCCCCATTCCAAAATACAATAATCCTCCAGTGGGACGGGAGAAAGAAGAATGCCAGGATGCCAGGCGAAAGGCACAGAGCACAGAGACCACCGGACATAGGACACGAGACAGCCTAGCGATAAACCCACAACAAAGAGCCCACAACACAGTAATAGGAATCCGTAAATGAACAGCAACAAACAAGCAAAAGACACAGGAAGAGAACAAAGGATAGAGGAGAATAACAAAAGACACAAAACAAGGACCAAGAGCAAAGGCAATGGCTGAGCCCTAAAGGGTTCGGGTGTTAAAGGATAATTCCCAGATAATAGACGTGGACGTTGTGGTCAGATTAGGGGCGATCATTCACGGGCACTCACCCGAGATTGTGTGGTCGGAGAGGCGCGAGGGCGGCGTGTGCGCCGGGGTGTGGTGGTGTGATGACGAGTCCATTCCGGGAGTGGGCAGGCCCGAGTAGAGGGCGCTGAAGTCCTCCGGCGTGGTGCTGCACTTGCGCTGGTGGTTAAGCGACGAGGAGGACGACTTGTCCAGCGTAGTGATCGGGGAGCGGGTGTCCTGCACCGAGCTGGCCAGGCTGAGTAAACGGTTCTCGTGTGAGCCGCCGATGCCCATAAGCCGCTGGTCCTGGAACGACATGAACTTGGTATCCTGTGCCACGCCTCCGTGCTGCATGCTGGCGTGGTCCTCCAGCAGTCCCTGCTGCAGGCCCAGCAACCCGCCCACCAAGTTCGGACGCAGCTCGTCCATGCTCAGCTTTCCCGCTTGCCCGCCGGCAGAAAAGTTCAGCTGGCGGCTGAAGATCGCCGGAAAGATGTTAAACTGCTGCGAGTCGGCGCTCGACTGCGGACTAAGTCCCAAGCTGTGGGGCGTCACGTGCGGAATGGAGGCGACAGCAGCTGCGGCCGCTGCAACGGCGGACACGGATCCAGCTCCGGTGCCCGTCCCGGCCGAGCTGGGTCCGTTACCGATCAGCAGGGTCGGCGCTCCGTTGTTGATCAGCTGCTGCTGCTGCTGTTGTTGCTGTTGTTGTTGCTGTAGCGGCGCGGCGACTCCCACGCCCGTCGGCAATTGTTGCGTCTGCTGGGGCTGGGGTACCTGCTGCGGCTGCTGGTGAGGCACGGAGACCGACGGCAGCAGTCCGTGATGGCCGTGCGCTACCGCTAGGGCCTGGGCGTGGCCGTGGGCGTGACTGCTGTGGACGTGCGGATGGGTAAGCGACAGTGTGGAGCTGGAGCTGCTTCCGTTACTGGCACTGTTGCCGCTGCTGGCTACAGCCTGTTGTTGCTGCTGCTGGTGCTGTTGCTGTTGGTGTTGTTGCTGCTGGACCGCTGAGTTGTTGCTGTTGTTATTGCCGCCGACGACGACTCCTCCAGCAGCTCCTCCTCCTCCACCGCCTCCACCACCGGAACCAGGGCCGCCGGCACAACTCTGATGTTTGAAATCCAACTTGTGGCCGGCGTAGAAACGCTGCGTATCGATATACGTCTTGAAGAAGTCGAGTGAGTAATCCAACTGGAAGCTGTCTCGCGGCGAACGCGTCCCCGTTGCGTAAGCGAATTCGAACTGGGCAGGCTCTAAGCCTAGACAGGGGAGCTTGCTTCCTGCCGTCGGCTATCCCTTCAGTTAGTTTTAAACTTCTTCTTTCCCCCAATGAGTCACCCAAAGTGTTTCTCGCTTGGACTTCACTGATTCTCGCACTCGGTTAGCACTTTTTCAAGCTTTCTCGTGGTTTTTCTAACGGTTATTGTTGGTGCGGAATGTTGCCATCCCTGTGGTCAGGTCACTTGAAAAAAAACGAACTCGGTTGGTGAACTTCACACTACACATCCAAATAAAAAAAAGAAATCCCGTTTCCGTCCCGCTAGTCCTTGGGTCTCCTTGATCTCTAGTGGGGAGACTGGCGAGAGCGAGCACCGTTACGCGAACTTTTACCGGGATCCGGGACCGTACACCGTGGGTGTACCGTTGGGACAAGAGCCGCTGGTGCAACTGTGTGCTGCTGCGTTTTTGTTTTGCCCGCTTCCGTCCTCGACTTGGCTTCGCCGTGACAGTTGCCGTTGCTCCTCTCGAGCAGCAAGAAGGATAATAATGATAGGACGACGAGTAATAAGGAGGAGAGCGCACGGCCGAAGCACCGTTTTCCTGTCGCTTGTTAGTGGGTTGTAGTTGAGAGGCGACGGGCGTGTGTACACAATAAACTAAAAAACTTCACCGCGCCCTGACGTACAATTGTTTCGTGGTTGTTGCTGCTGCCGATGCTGTGTAGTACTTCAAATCTGTCGCTTTGTTTTGTTGCTTTCAAGTTTGTTGTTTTTCGCCGTTTGTTTTTGTCTTTGTTTTCACTGCAGATGGTTCACGCACGCACGGTGATACGTATTCGCGGCCGATCAAACTTAAAATGATATACAATTTCAAGCAACATACAAAATTATAACGAAATTAAGGATCATGTGCTTGCTAACAGAGACGCCGACGTCGACTTCGCAGCTCGTCCTGGCGGTTCTCGTTGCCAGTGGTTGCTTCTGCTGCTGCAGATGTTGCTATGTTGCCGCTGCTGCTGCTGCGGGGACAATTGCGGGATGCGCGCGAACGATTGGTGGTTAGCACTGGCTCGGTGTGCGTGTGGCTCATGGGTGTGCGTCTGCGTGCGCCTGTGTTTGTGCAGTCGTGACCACGAATCGTTAGTCGTACTAATAACTTAAAAAAAATAATGGAACTCCAGCGTGTGTGTGTGTCCGTGTGTGCGTCTCCCCATGGAGAACAAGTGTGACAGAACGACAGCAGCAGCTGCCTGCCCGCTCGCGCACCACTGCCACTTGCCGTCTCGCTTTAACTTGTTTGGTTAATTTCGTTAGTTCATGCCGTCGCCATTGCTGTCCTTGCTGCTGCAGTCGAAGCTGTCGCCGGGACGTCGCCTACTCGTTTGTTTTGCAGCAGACGAGAGACGACATTCGAAATCCGAAACTCCTGGCTGTGTGCGAAGGGGCTATGCCAAATCCCATGTCGGCCTCTGTTTATTTTCCTTGATCCATTGGCCATGTTCCGTCTCCAGCTCCCGCTCCCGCATCCGCTCTCTCACGCGCTCTAACCACCGGTCCTTCCTCGCTGCCACTAACAGTTATTCCATTACCCTGGACGAGCACACTTCCGGTGACACACTTTCACGGTCGCCAGGCCAGAGAAAGCTTCCCGGGGCAGCCCCTCGCCCCAGCCGATCGATGGAGAAGCTCGCTCGACGGAGAATTCCTGCAGAGAACATATCGGACCAAACGTCCGGGCAGCCAGCCACCGCTCCACCTGTGCGATTCAAATAAGGTGCCGGAGCTGATGTTGCGCCGGTTGCTGTGAGCCGACTGAGGCGTTGCCAGAACGAGACGCAGCGAGTGCAGTAACGGCGCCAGACAAGGACGCCAGTAGCGCCTGCCATGCTGCCCACATGGTCGCCATGTCCTGACTGCACCACACACTGGTTGTCTCGCTCGAACACCCGCCCGCCTGCGAGAGCAGGCTTTGGCCAATCGGCAAGCAGCAAAATGGAGTCTCTGCATTGTTGTTGCTGCTGCTGCGCAACGAATTAGTCCTCGTTAAATGTGTCGACGACAGCGCCGGTTATTGCGACGACGACGACGGCAGTGGCATCGGCTGTGACTGCGACTGCGGCAAGTTCACCGCGGCGCTGTTGCCAATTTTCTTGCCATTTTCTTTCATCCCGCTTGCAGTTGCGCACCGCGCTCCACCCGTCCGTCCGTCCATTCACCATCCAGTCGTCGTCCTGCCAGTTGAAGTCCTTCCCTGTATCTCAGTTATCCTTAAAGCAACACTCTCAACTGAATGTACCCATTTGTTTGGCTGTGGCTCGATTCTGACGCCGTCGCTGGTGTTGCCTGCCCCGGCAGCTGCCCCTTCCCGCATCCCCTCCGCAACAGCTGTAAACGGCCTGCAATGGGCCCAAAAGGGCCACTTGTCATATCTTTCCCGTTGCCAACAACAACGCCCCTTTGCCACAGCTCGAAATGATTAAAACTTTCTCCCGAACCAAATACAACAAATAAGGATCCAAAAGTTTAACCCGGCACATGGCCAGACACATGGGCGGAAGCTCTGCAGCCAAAGGATTCACTCAATGCCCTTTAAGGAGCGATCAAGCGTTGCTGGCTCGCTATTTTCTAGAGGCTAGAGTGAGATGGTGGAAGAAAGAGTAGGTGGGTTTAAGGAAGAAAGGAAAAGCTAGGACAGCAAAGGAAATCCAAGGATTTCCCAGAAAGGAGCTGTTATGTAAACCAAACACTGTTGAAAAGGGGACAACTCTCAAGGCTTCGAATCAAAGAATTTATATATAAAAAGTATAAGTAAAATAAGTAAGTTATAAATTATTTTAAGTGCTACAGAATTTTAGCTAAAGACACATTCTTTGGAAGTGTTAGGATGTATAAGTCTCAGAATAGAAGAACAGTCGACTGCATACCTTCCAGTTTCTTACTTTCCCACATTCTTGTTATTTTGGTTAAAATCGACTTGAATCTTTGCACACATCCTATATAAGTTAGAACGTCCGGGATCGGCCGATTATATCCTATAGATGGCATATAACTGATTGATCGGAAATAATCGGTTTTTTTAGAATTCGAGTTTGGATTTTCTATGGATTCTATTTTAGGCAAAATGACACGACCTATTAAATTTCATAAGGTCGTGTCATAAGGACCGACTATCCTATCGTATAGCTGTCATATATAGAACGCTCGGAAGTGGTATTTGATACTTGGTAAAAATACCAATTATGGTAGTTTCGAAGTTTTTGTAATCTAATAAAATGGCCTTATTATTAAATTATTATACCGATCGACAAACTATATTCGATATTTGGGATATTTATCCGATCATATCTGCAAGGGTATATCAACCTCGGCTCAGCCCGAAATTAGCTTTCCTTTCTTGTTTATGATAATTTCCACGAAATAACATAATTCAATGTATTTGTAATTGGTACGATGTTTATCAGAGCCCATTTTGCATAAATTACGCTTAAATCGATTTATCCAGCCCAGCCACACAGCAATAAACGCTTTCGCCCAATATACTTTTTAAGTCACAGTATCGAAGTATTTTTTGTTTAAAATTGTACTTTTGGGTTTTCGTAAGTTACATAATCTTATAAATATTGCTTTCCTGCCTTTTAATTAAGAAACCTTGGAGATTTGAAAGTTCGATTTCATTAACTTGTTTTTTTTTTAATTTTTGTGTTATATTTTAGTTAATGTAGCTTATGAGATAGGGATGTCAGAAATATATCAAAATATCAATATATAGATATATTTTTTCTTAAAAAAAATTATTATCGTGATATTTTTTGGGAAGAAATAGTCGATATTAATATTTTTGAGTTGATATTTCCGATATTTTATGTTTGGTCACTCTTAAGCCAGAAAGTGAGAAAACAAGTTGTAAAAATGAGTTCGGAAAAAGAGTTTGACACGGAGGTGAAAGCTACTTCAGCAAAATGCACATTATGCCTGAAAGTAATTAAAACTACCGGAATCGCCAAAAATGTATTATACCATCTCAAAAACAACCACCAAGCTAACCGAACGAGCTTTTCTAAAATAAAGTAAATAAATAAATAAAGATTTGTTTTCTAATTAATAATTAAAAGCATTAAGTACGAATTTTATGAATTAATAATTAATACGTTTTAAATATATTTGAGAGTAGGTATAAAGTTTAAGCAAATAATAGTCTATTGTTTCACAAAATAGCTATGATTTGCAGTTCATGGGGTATGAAATCCTATATTAAAACTGGTTTTAACGTAAACATAAAAGAATATCAAAAATACTCAATATATCGATTTTTTGGTGATATTTCTTAATATTACGGATTGATATTTTTTCACAGCAAATATCATCAATACGATATCATCATCAATTTTTCAAAATTCAACAACCTTATGCGATTTAGTGGCTTGGTCATACTTTAGGAAGTCATTTAATTGGCTGAAATTTAAATGAACGTCCTATAAATAGATAATTAGCTTAAATTTATTTAGTTTGTGGCACATCTCATCAATTAATATAAATAAATGGTTGTCAAATGTTTTTTTGTTGAATTTATATTAATGAAACTTAAAATAATATTTTTTTATAATACTCAAAATTAAATGTTGTGAAGCTTGTAATATGTTTAGCTTGTAACCTTGAAGCACCTTGAAGCTTGTAATATGTTGTTGTTTCTATTACTTTATAAATTCATGGTCTATACTATTACAAATATCATGGAGGTAGATTTGAGAGAATGAAAATTTAGAATACATTGGGAATGTGAGTGTTGATCTGATAAGGTTAAAAGCACTGATGATTTAATAGTAAATTAAAAAGAGTAGTTTGGACGGCTTAAGTCGTCCTTAAAGTTGACAGTTAAAGCAAAAGGAATATTTTTATCGACATTACCTTTAATTAAGTTTTATACAAAAACGACTCTTAATATTTTTCTACGGATGGTAATTAATGAAAATTTAAAGGAACTAGTTTACCATAATAGAAACTCTCTCTCTTTCTTTCAATGTGCTTTCGATTTATTCCAGGCTACACACTCTCAGAAAAGATGGATTGGCGATATTAACATATATCAAAGATTATAAAGTACATAGATGGGACATCAGGGCCCAAAACGGTCAACTTTTTGCGTCGAGCTTGTTGGTGAGGGGGGAACGCACATGCATACGATTCTATTTTTAGAATTTTTTACATGTATCCGTCAACAAAAATGTGAACCTATGCGTGTATGTGTGACTGCTCGCACGACGGAGTAAAAATGTTTTGGCTTCCAAATTTCAATTTCAATTTCTCGTTTCTGTTTTCGATGCGCCGATGTGGTAGTTGGTAAAACAAATAGTATTTTTAATCGCTGCAGATCGAGACAGGATGGTAGCGTAATGCATAGAGTAGTTACTCTATGTGAAATTTTTCTGTTTTCAAATCCTCGTAAGGACTTTAAACTTTTTCTTTCTTATATATATATATTTTTTTTTTATTTTTCTTTTATTGTAATATTTTTCTTTAATTTTACAATTGTAAAATTGTATTCTTCATTATGTCCCGCTAATAAAATGCTAATAAAATTTCAAGGGAATCCTTCCGGTATTTTGTCATCCGACACGTCCGTCACTTATTTTTACAACAATTGTAATAGAATGCAATTAAAAATAATAATAATAACGTAAAAATTAAAAGTAAAAAAAAATAAAATAATAAAAAAATAAAAGTAAATATAAAAATAATCATAAAACTAAAACTTGATCAAAATTGAAACCAACCGCCCGCTCAGTTGACAGTAAGGATAGTAAAAGATATTTCTGATCTCTTTACTCTTACATTGGTTCGATTACAACGTTTCAAACTATCATCGTTCCAAAGATGTTACGATCTAAAAATAGAATTCTCTCTTTCCACGGCTGGAACCCGCCATAGAAAATTTGTATGAGATGTCCCATCTACATGTATGTATGTACTTTATAATCTTTGCATATATTTAATTAAATGAAGTTCCCATTAAATTTCTTATAGCATCTTTTGATGCGCCTATTGTATTGAAGCCAAGCACTCCCCGAACTATTTTTTTTATATAAAACAAGAAAGGAAAGCAAACTTCGGATCGGTGCCGAAGTTGATATACCCATACAGTTAAAACCATACTACTTGTACACTACGTATGTAGTCATAAGTCAACACTATGTTATTAATATTCAATACTATTAGATAATAATTTAAATTTACGTGGACAATATTTCAAACAATGTATTTTGGATTTTTTTATTATTGTTTTTAAAACATTTATATTTATTAAAATTCTTAAAAGTTCTTAAATTCTTTAATTTAAAAGTTAAGTTCTTCTTCAAGAAATCTCTAAAAAGTAGGCAACAAAAATTGCCTGCGTGTCTCTGTTTTAACCAAACTATGTACATACAATATCCTGACTATTTATGGTGTTTGACTAATTAATATCGTGTTTAGCTACACGTATGAATTAAAGTATAACTCATGTATGTAAAGCTAAACCTAACTAAAGTTTGCGAACTTTGCGATTAAAGTAACGTGTTTAATTTGAGGAATCTACATCCGTTTCGATTTGGTGTCGACTTGGCCAAAAGCAGCTCTGTTTCTTTTCGGGTTGTGGACGGAAATTTTGTCGATGCAAAACACACGGACACTATGGACCAGGCTTAAAAATGTGTGGTATTTGCAAAAAATATAGTGGCAAACACACCAGAAAAATTAAATTAAATAAAAAGGAAAGGTCCTTTTTGGTTGTTAGTCAATGTAAAGAGTTTTTGTTCAATCAAATTTTAAAGTCATATCACACAATCTGTGACAGTTAATAATACAACTTAAACCCCAAATAGTAAAAATCAGTAATAGGTATAATATGTAA